TATGTATGTATGTATGTATGTATGTATGTATGTATGTATGTATGTATGTATGTATGTATGTATGTATGTATGTATGTATGTATGTATGTATGTATGTATGTATGTATGTATGTATGTGTATGTATGTATGTATGTATGTATGTATGTATGTATGTATGTATGTATGTATGTATGTATGTATTGTATGTATGTATGTAGGAAAATGAGGTGTGTTTATGTGTGTGAAGGTATGTGGGTGTGTAGATATGAGTGTTTAAGTGAATTGGTGGGCGTGTGTGTTGGTGTGTGTATGTCTGTGTGTGTCTGTGGTCTACATGTCTGTGTGTGTGTTTCTGTGTGTATATTCTGTCTCTGCTTGTCTGTGTGTGTGTTTCTGTGTGTATATTCTGTCTCTGCTTGTCTGTGTTTGTGTATGTATGTATGTGTGTCTACTTTTGCGTGTCTGTCTGTGCGTCTCTGTATTTGTGTCTGTATTTGTTTGTTTGTGTGTATCTGTGTGTCTCCGTGTGTTTGTATTGTGTGTCTGTGGGTGTGAATCTATGTATGTGTTCCTGTGTTTATTTGTGTGTGTGTTTGTGCGTGTATGTGTATCTGGTTGTGTGTGTCTTCGTGTGTCTGTGCGTGTGTTTGCCTGTCTGTGTGTTATACGTGTATGTTGCTGTATGTGTTTGTGTCTGTGTGTGTGTCTGTTTTGTGTTTATATGTGTGTGTATGTGCTTGTGTGTGTATGTGTGTCTGCGTGAATGCCTGTGTATATGCGAGTCTCTGTGTGTACATATCTGTGTATGTCTCTGTGTGTGTCTGTGTGTATATGTCTGTGTATGTTTGTCGGTGTGTGCGTGTCCGTGTGTAGTGTCTCTGGGTGTGTGTATGTGTGTCTGCGTGTGTGTCTGCGTATGCCTCTGTATGTGTCTCTGTGTGCCTGTGTATATGTATGTCTGCGTGTGTGTTTACATTTGTGTGTGTCTGTGTGTGTGCCTGTGTGCTTGGATGTCTGCTTATGCTTCTGCGTGTGTGTGTCTGTGGGTGTGCGTCTGTGTGTGTATGTGTCTGCGTGAGCATCAGCGTGTGTGTGTGTGTGTATGTGCGTGTCTCTGAGTGTGTGGCTGTGTGCGTCTATTTATGTGTGTTTGTGTCAGTGTGTGTGCATATGTGTGTGTGTCCGTGCCCGCGTGAGTGAAGATATGTAGATATGTGTGTGTGGGTGTGGGTGGGTGTGGGTGGAGAGTGTGTGTGTGTGTGTGTGTGTGTGTGTGTGTGTGTGTGTGCCAGCGCGCTAGTGTGTGCATGCATTTTGTTGTTATGGTTTTTTTTCACAATATGCATATTATCAAATGGACATAACATGCTCATTGATAAAATAGAGCTGCAGTGTGAAAGACGGGTGTTTGGAAGGGCCGAATGCACGGGCCTGCGTGCCGAATTTGTGAAAGTTCGTTTGTTCGTTCTCTCTCTCTCTCTCTCTCTCTCTCTCTCTCTCTCTCTATATATATATATATATATATATATATATATATATATATATATATATATATATATATATATATATATATCTGTCTAACTGGGTCTGTCTTTTTTAAATATCGGTCTTCTTTTCATATGTTTGCTGTTATCTTTTTGAATCTTACTACGTTCTATAATCTTCCTCCACCCACCCCCTTTCTCTCTCTCTCTCTCTCTCTCTCTCTCTCTCTCTCTCTCTCTCTCTCTCTCTCTCTCTTTCGTATGGGAATATCCGGAATGAGCGACGTCAAATCTTGATTTATTCATTCTCTCTCTCTCTCTTTCTCTCTCTTCTTTATGTGTAATTTTTTTTTTTTTTTTTTGGAGTGGCAATGCCTGGAGTTCATGGATTTGATTGATTCATTAATTCATTTATTCATTCATTCACTTCTCCATTCATTCATTCATTTATTTACCAATTAATTCATTTTCACTCACTAGCCCTTTTCAACATTTAAGCTAACAAAGTAACCATGTAATGAAATAAATAAAAAAGCAATCTAGCTACCAACTAAGAGGCTGATTACCCATTCAATATGTGTTGTGTGTTCGGTGTGTGTGTTGTATGGGTGTGTGTGTGTGTGTGTGCGTACGTGCGTGCGTGCGTGTGTTTCGGCAGCCACGAAATCTCAATAACATGTTATGATATCCTTTTCTTGTAAATCACTCTCTAAGATGAGACTGTGCATACAAATTCAGGCGGGGTAAAAATCCCACATGTCAAATAATTTGATTCAGACTATTTCTTGGGGTCAGTGTTTCTCTCTCTCTCTCTCTCTCTCTCTCTCTCTCTCTCTCTCTCTCTATCTCTCTCTATCTCTCTCTCTCCTCCCCCCCCCCAACCACTCTCTCTCTCTTTCTCCCTCTCTCCCCCTCTCTCTCAAAGGGCCATTTTTGACACATGATACATCAAGCATGCGATGCTATTATCATACATTTATTGACCAGTTCATTGTCCCTTTGCGATGTGGTCAGCATCACGCCGACCGCCATTTCCTGGCATGTTACGTGGTACCTATTTAAGGTCATACGGCCTGCAAACGTAGATTACAATGTAGATTCGATCCTAGTACATTCAGATGGTGATGTGATCTATTTCATGTTAAAATGTGATATTTTCATGCGTATTTTACTGACATGTTTTTCACCATTCAGGTAAACACTGGTGGTATAATCTCAGAGAAGACATGGACTGTGGCGACATCTTCCCAGTGTTTTTGTTGTACAACGAGGGAGAGCTTACCGGTTTTGGATGGGCTATAACCACATATATAAACTCGGACAGATATGAGCACCCTCCTTCAAGTTCCTCTAAGGTTTGTTTTGATTTACGTTTGTTTAATCACCTTTTACAGGGTCTTCCTAATTTACGACCAACCGAATGTCCAATAAAGCGAAGCAGATGTCCGATGCTTGGCGTCATGACCCAGGTGGGCTTGCCCTATGAGATTGGCTAGGAGGATTACGAACCGAAACAATTGTTGCAGGAAGGACCAACTTACTAATGGTGATTGGTAGACTCCCGTTGTACATGCTCCCGATGTGAAGTTGCAATAAGGACCAACCTATGGATAATGACTGGTAGACTCCGGTTGTACATGCTCTCGATGTGAAGTTGCAAGAAAGACCAACTTATTGATAATGATCGGTAGACTCCTGTTGTACATGCTTTCGATGTGAAGTTGAAAGAAGGACCAACCTATTGATGATGATCGGTAGACTCCTGTTGTTAATGCTCTCGATTTGAAGTTCTTACTAACAGATCCTAAGTCCACTGCTCAAAAGAACAGTTGGTTTTAAGTTAAGTCGAATTTGCATTTTTCAAAACTATATTCATTTGAACAGGTTATAAAATTTATACACAAGACACATGAATTAAATCTGTATACACATGACTGTTATATATAATGTGAAAAATACCTAGTACTCGTATGTACTCTATTGCATCAGCTTCGGGAACTTGTTGACCATACTAATGTAGTTATTTTTTTAATTAAAGTCAGGTAAGTGTGGACGATTCTTAAGTGAATAGGTTTAGTCGAGGATAATGAGTCGTATGCTATAGTCAATGAACTCAGTGGCTTTCAGTGGGCGGAACATATTTAAGTGATTCGTGAGATCATTAGGAAGTAAAAAGAAAAACACGACAACCCTCAAGCGTTTTGCATGTGTGTGTGTGTGTGTGTGTGTGTGTGTGTGTGTGTGTGTGTGTGTGTGTGTGTGTTTTGGTGTGATTTTAACTATTCTAATAAGAGTGTAATTATTATGAAAAGGATTGAAAAAAAATTACATTATGAGCTAGATGAAGCACAACCGGGTAGAGGAACTAGTGATCACACATTTAATATGAGTTGAAAATTACAGAGAATACAACGTAGATCTTCATGCTTGTTTTATTAATTATAGCAAGGCATTTGAATGTGTCAAAAATGACCAGACTTTAGACAGTTATGTTGAAAATATGTGCTCTCTAATAAACAGCAATGGAGACTGTTTGACAGAAATTAAAAGGCGGATGGCCATAGCAATGCAAAGATTGAACAGCCTTAAAAGTATATGTTTAAGCACCACCAAGGAGATCAAAATTAGAATTTTAAGAGCATGCATCTTCCCTCTGTCTACATACGGATGTGAGTCGTGGACTATCTCCCAGTCCTTATTAAGAGAATAGGGGCTTTTGAGCTGAAATGCTATAGAAAGATTCTCAGAATATCTTGGACAAAGAAGAGAAGAAATACTGACATCTTGAAAGATCTAAACATCAAGGAAGATTGGCTAAAAAACAGCATCCTGTCTCGGAAGTTGAAATATTTTGGTCATATCAGGCGCCACGACGGACTGGAAAAAAATTATAGCAGAAGGCAAGGTACCAGTGAGGAGGGGCAGGGGCCGACCGACACAAAGATGGGCACAAGATATATGTGACCCCTTGAGTATGAAAGCACATGAGGCGGAAGAACTGGCGAGAGACCGAGTTTTTTTCAGGCAGACTGTGATGAGAGCGACGTTCTGCAAAGGACCTACTACATGATGATGATGATGAATAAGAGTGCGGCCCCCCCCCCCCCACCTTTTTTGCCTATCTTATATTGTTGATGGTATATCCTCCCACCACGACGTTCTTAGTGAAGTTCAAATGTCTCTATTGACACTATAGATGGAAACGAGATATGAAAAGATTATACGTCACTGTTGCCCACCCCTCTTGGTTGGCTTACGGTGACCTACTTTGTTGAAAATGTGTATTTGCAGCATGCTGTTTTCAGTACATGTTCTTTATTACTCTAATGTCACTCCCATCACGTCGTAGAGTTGTGAAGGTTTTTTTTTTTAAATTTCGAAATGTCAAACTCTATTAATAGCATTTGTGTAGTCAATGAAACAAAGATATAAATACTTCCTTACCCCCCCCCCCCCCCCCCCCGCCCTTTTGCAAAGCTGTTTTTTTCCTCGGTAAACACATACCATGCGCTATATAATCTCCTTTCAGGTACCCACATTACTCTTTCCTATTCCTGTTTATATTGTTAGAAGCCGTTTCAATACTTGCACACGCATGCTATCAATAGTAAATATATGTTATGACACGCTTAGACTGTACTTGCAAATATCTGTACGTACGAGTTAGCAGTTGTAAAAATTTTCTGATTTGATTGTATTTGATTATACCTGCACACACGCACGCGCGCGCAGACACATACATACGCATGTGGTAATAATTGTAAATATATGTTTTGACTTGATTATATTTGCAAATGTTAAAAATGTTAAATGTTGAATTAAGAATCGATATCACAGCACCCAGGACACCCCCATAAGTGCTCCTGTCCCAATCTTCAGCAGCAAGCAAAGAGTTAAAATTCCGATGGTACCAGTAACTAATTGTGTATCCGTCTCGCATTTCCCCTGATTTTCGAGCGTCAGATCCCCTTGTTATATTTGCAAACACCTGCAGATACATACTAACAACTGTAAAAATATTAGGACTGTGATGAATAACAGAACAGACAACATAAATCTCTTATTACTTACGCGCAGTAACGTAATTCTACTGCTGACTTAGAACGAAAATTACAATAAAATGTTGTCGACATAAATAAAATATACATATTATACGTAATTTTACAAAACTATCAATATAAACTTCGACTCAAGAGTAACAGTGTAGATAAATGTTATGAAATACTATAAAACTAGCTTAATTTCGAATCATCTGTCACCTTCTTCTGTGTCTTTGAGGCTCAAGCTTTCTAGACGGCGTTGACTCGTATCTTACGCAGAAGTAGGATCTGTTTTGCATTTGCCTTCTCTTGCATTTCAAACAGGTCGATGCATTTTGATAATTTTGTTTCTGCCCTTGAGTAGCTAGTTGTTGGTTTTTAGTTAAGAACTGTTCCTTCATCGTCATCAGCTTTAAACACACAGGGTTACTTCGTCACAACTGAGACCAGCGTGTAACAAAATAGCTACTGGTTAAAAAAGTAAAGTAAAGATCCCTTTACACGCCTTAAGGCGCATCTGGCATATGGGAAGAGCACCCACATTTTTACAGACCAATCGACATTCGGTGGGTAATGTGGTCAGCATTACGCCTGCCGTCTCTACTTCCCCAGGACAGCCATCCTGGTACCCATTTGAGGCTGGGTCGACCTACAACGTCCCATACCACGATAAAAATCCACGCAGCCAACAGTGGGCTTCGGTCGCGGTACGTTGGATTACGAGTCGGACTCGCAACGCCTTAGCCACGAACGCCGCAGCCACTGGTTAGTGATCGGTTAAGTCTTTGTCAAGGTTTCAACTTCACTGCAATCAGGTCATCCCCAGACTTGCTCCGTTCCTGTGTCCATGAAAATCAAATGAAATTCCCCCTAGTGCCCTATTTGAAAAACTAGTGACCAAATAGTTCATCTCGGAACAATTCAGAAATAAGCGCACGCAGTAAATACATATGGCACTAAGCTAAAACCAACAGTCGCCAACGAAAATGCAGTGTGTAGTTGATGGAAGTAGTCGGGCACGATAAGTTGGCTATACAGAGGTAGAATTATTATATAGGGTATTTCACTAGCCCGTAAGTAAACCGGCTAACCGTCGTATTGATTATCACGACTAAACCTCTGCACAAATGAAAGGCATTCCACATGGAAAACACAGCTCTCAGAGTTACACCAAGCACTAAACTCGGGAGCTCAGGCGTAGACTACTGTCCATTTGTGAAAACTGAATTAGCAAGGCGCTCTTGTATGCAAAAATAGCCCTAAAGCTTAACCTTCTGTCGTGCCTAGTCCTCATATTTAGACCAGAAGTGAAAGGTTTGTAGCGCACCAGATCAAGGTCAACGGTACCGCCACCGACACTTAGTCACTTCCGCCTTCATACTGTAGAGTCACTTCCAGTCTGGTACAGTTGGCTGTGAAAGTAATTCGAGACAATTGTACAGATGTCTGTCTGTTTGCAGATATTGCTCAATTTTGTAAAGGATGACGGATAACAAATTTGTGATTAATAAACCAAGTGACGGTTAATCAAAATTTTAGTGTACAAAATTTTACCTGCTCGTACTTGCAAACACCTACACATGCATGCTAACAATTGTATGTATGTATATATATATATATATATATATATATATATATATATGGAGGTTTTTGCAAATATAATCAAGTATATATATATATATATATATATATATATATATATACTTGATTATATTTGCAAAAACCTCCACATAAATACTAGCAACTGTAGCTATATATATATATATATATATATATATATATATATATATATATATATATATATATATATATATATATTGACTTTATTATATTGCAGATATCTACACTTACATGCTGGAAAATGTAAATACATATTCAAACTTTCTTACATTTGCAGTTTTTTATGCAAAACCCCCCTAAATGCTTGGAATCAGACGGGGAGATGACCACTATGCACATCTATCTCAACTCTAGCCCATGGTTCAACACCTGCTAGTTTTGACCGCTTCACTAAGCACCTACTGGACATTGAAACAGTTGTTAATAAATCAAATTTAATATGAATAAGATCAGAAGAGTTAAACAATTTCAGAACTGAATAAAGTCAGTAGATGTGAATATAATGTGTGGTTGTGTGGTTGAGTTGTGTTCGTATTAGTTTTTGGTTAGTAAGATAATAAACCTAGCGGCTAAATGCTGGCCTGCAGTTTAGAAAGTCGTGTATTCGGGTCTTGACAGAGGCAGGACTTTTTTCAAAAAGTAAGTTGGCTCCCAGGTCGACCCAGCCTTGAACAGGTACAAGTTACAGTTCTGGGAAGTAAATTCGGCCGGCGTAATGCTGAAGAAATTCCCCATCAAGTGGCCATAACAGCTGAAAGAGGTTCCTGGTACCTCTCCATGGGTGGTCCACATCTTCATGGTGACACTTAGTGTAACCGGGTGTTTATCGCTTGTGTGATGTCCTGATGGGGCACAACAAGCAAGCAACCACAAAAATGACATTTTCAGGATTCGAAACATGGAGCTGAATATGTATAAAGACAGCATGGCCTTTTTGAAACTAAAATAACTCTGCCTTATTGAACGTCAAAATTGTTTCCAGAAAGGAGCAACGAAGGCTACTGTTCATGGTAAAAGGGTCAGTGACCAGCCGGTTCAACGGCCGGAGAGAGGAAATCAAAAACACTCTGTAGAAAAACTTCACAAGAAAGTCCAGTTGGTAATGCACGAAGTGGCTTTTTGGTGTGACCGGGTGAGAGCAAAGTTCTGCAGAAAGACATGCTAAGCGACTGTAAAATCGAAACAATTTCAATGGTGCTTTCAAGTTCTCAGATGTAGAAGAAACAAAATCCCGACAGTAATATTTTTAGTGTAACATTTTCTGCTTCTCTATATTACTCTTCTAGGAAATTCATCCAGACTTCAATATCGGATGAAGCCGCCGATTTTTTGGGACTAGGTGCACCGCTAACTGTTAAACAGAGCACCCATTTAAAAAAAAAAATGAATGTTTCAATGGGAACTATGAGAAGTGAAAAGATATTTTTCAAGACACAGATTCTTTAATGTCGTTGAAAATATAGAAATTAGAGGCAAGCTGTCAGTTCAGTTCTTATTAAAACCGTCCTTATCTTTCCAGATATATCTCAATTGTTCCTGTCCCTTTCAACAACGATGTCCAAATGTAAACCATAGTGCCAACAGGCGCCTTCAGCAAAACGCTATGCAAATAGCCGTATACATATAATTGAGTCCATGACGTTCACCTTAACTTTATCATGAAATTCACAAGATTTACATCATGATCATCATGTAGCAGGTCCTTTGCAGAACGTCGCTCTCATCGCGGTCTGCCTGAAAGAAACTCGGTCTCTCGTCAGCTCTCCCGCCTTATTACTTTCAAACTCAAGGAGTCACTTATTTACTTGTGTTGGTCGGCCCCTGCCCCTCCTTATTGGTACCATTCCTTCTACTGTTTTTTTTTTTTTTCAATCCGTCGTGGGGTTTGATATGACCAAAATATTTCAGCTTTCACGACAGGATGCTGCTTATTAGCCAGTCTTTCTTGATATTCAGATTCTTCAAGATGTCAGTATTTCTCCTCTTCTTTGTCCAAGATATTCTGATAATCTTTCTAAAGCATTTCAGCTCAAAAGCCCCTATTCTCCGTTTTAACGACTAGGAGATAGTAGGCTACTCAATTCCGTATTTTGCAGCTGGGATGATGCAAGCTCTCAAAATTCTAATTTTGACCCCCTTGCTGGTACTTAACCATAGACTTTTCATGCTGTTTAATCTTTGCATTGCTATGGTCATCCTCCTTTTTTTTCTCTGTCAGACAGTCCCCATTGCTATTTATTACAGAGCTTGATATTCAAAGTCTGTGACTTTTTCAATTTCTTCATCATTTATTGTTATCTTTGGGTGACAGACATTTTTATCTGTGGACATTATTTACGTTCTCTTTAAATTCAAGAAAAGATTTTAATCTCCACTTTGCTTTTGGACAGACGATATTACATTTTCTGGCACTCTTCCAAATACCTGTTCCAAATTCTTCCAAAAAACGGTCCCAAATTATTTACTGTCCAAAACATCCCTTTTAGAGCCCCGAGGGATTCAAGGGGTTATAAGGATATTAAAAATTAAGAACATGAACAACAAGAAGATGTTCATTGATGCCATTGTTAAGTTGACCAACGTTGTTGTAGCCTCGCCAGGCAACGGTGACAATTGTCGTTCACTTATGATGCGTTCCAATGTTGCCGCATTTCGCTTATGAACAACTTCCAACCAGCAACGACCACTTCCGCGTTAAACTAGCCCAACTACCCATTGACCACGATGAAAGAAACCACGATGGTACTTGTGGTGAAAAAAAAAATATCTCTCGTCAACTTCAACAACCACTGACTGTCCGTTAGCATCAAATCCTCCCAAATGAGGGTTATTAAGCAGCAGCCTTTTGTGACACTCTAACTGTTATAGTTGACAATAGTATCACGGCTTGTCAACCTCTAAAAAAACATCACATGTTTCAGCTTCACACCGAACAACCAGTAAAACATTACATCAAAAATTGTTTAGTTGGGAATCCACAATTAGCAAAGAACGAACCCGTCCATACACTACAACGAGGATTACAGTGACGACATCGCCATAAGAATCTATCCGAACATTCTAGCCTTGACACAAACGACATCCGACGGTTGCAAGACGAACAGTCTACTGTGTTCCGTATTATTCTGTGCGTAGCAAGCCATTGCAACCACCGTAGTTTATCGTTCATCTATATATATAAAAATCAATGTTTGTGTGTTTGTGTGTTTGTTTATAGCCTATAGACTCGGAAACTACTGAAGCGATTTAGCTGAAATTTTCAGGAAATGTTTATTTTGATACCGGATGTTCACCCATCATGGTTTGAAATTCAACCTGTCATTGTTAGAGATAGTGTGCGACAATTGTTGGGAAAATCTTCGAAACTAATGTTTCCATTTTATAGTGACATTTAATTATAGCCACGTTAGTAACTGCCCGTGCGCGATCGTCTTTCACCGTGCATGCGCAGTAGTGGAGCTCCATCGTCAACATCCGCCCGCGACAAGGAAAACAATTGCCTGCGGAATCTAGAAATATCTCAAAGGGTAAGCGCATTTACCTTACTACCATTAGTCAGTATGTAATTTTTTTTTTTTTGACAACTTCAAAAATGTGTGGACCACTCCTTAAATCACGCAATGATAAATGTATACACATTATCTGTGGGTTTTCTCATACTGTCTAGCGTACTATTATGATTGTTACATGTTTACATGTCTTACATGTTTACATGTCTACACAATATCGGTTGGCTTTCTTCTGCTATTCAGAAGAATTATATATATTTACACGAAATTCCGTCGCAGGTCAACTGCAGGTAGTCTGTAGAATGTAGTTAAGACGATTATTTCAGTCGCAAGACATATATGCCACAAATCTTACTACTACACTGGACACCTATTCATGTTATAAAATGGATTGTTATCTCATGCTCATATTTTCATTTATTTAGCTGGGCACTGGACACCTACTTATTCATTTCGTTTACCGGCTTTTCAGAATATTTGCTGCTCAGTTTCTATGCATTTCCTCTTGAGTCGAAATAGAATGTTATCTCATGCTCATATTTTCTTTTTGTTTTCAAGTTATATTTCATTCAATGCGTGGGGATGAAAAAGCTATTGACGATCACCGCTTTCTAAATTCACACGGTGTTCACTTTTTTTTTTTTTTTTTACATTTGCAGTTATTCCTCCCAAACGACAAGCGATTGGCCCATCTACACCTAGAGCACGCAAGAGAATGGCATTAATTGCTTTAGAAACAGATGAGCAACATGAGGTAAGACTGGAAACCATTCGAGCGCGATTATTTTAGTCGCAAGACATATATTCCCTAAATCTTACTGCTACACTGGACACCTATTCATATTGTTTACCAACTTTTCATAATATTTGCTGAACAGTTTCTATGCATTTCCTCTTGAGTTGATATAGATTGTTATCTTATGCTCATATTTTCATTTATTTAAGCTGGTCACTGGACACCTACCTATTCATATTGTTTACCAACTTTTCTTAATATTTGCTGCACAGTTTCTATGCTTTTCGTCTTGAGTCGAAATACAATGTTTTCTCACGCTCATATTTGAATTTTTTTTATTTCAGCGATACTTTAAGTCATATTTCATTCAGTGTGTAGGGACCAACAAGCTATTAACGATCAACGCTCTCTAAACTCACGCGCTGTTCACTTTTTTGTCAAACATTTGCAGTTATGCCTCCCAAACGACTGCTACAGTTTACCTGTCTACACAGATTCGGTTGGCTTACTCTTATTATTCAAATGAATTATATACATTTACATAAAATTCCGTTGCAGGTCAACTGCAGGTAGTCTGTTGTTAAGTCGATTATTTCAATCGCAAGACCTATATACCACAAATCTTACTGCTACACTGGACACCTATTCATATTGTTTACCAACTTTTTCTAATATTTGCTGCACAGTTTCTATGCATTTCCTCTTGAGTTGAAATAGATTGTTATCTCATGCTCATATTTTCATTTATTTAAGCTGGGCATTGGACACCTGCCTATTCATATCGTTTACCCGCTTTTCAGAATATTTGCTGAGCAGTTTCTATGCATTTCCTCTTGAGTCAAAATAGAATGTTTTCTCATGCTTATATTTTCAATTATTTTAAGCGATACTTCAAGTCACATGTTATTCAGTGCGTGGGGACGAACCAGCTATTGACGATCAACTCTCACTAAATTCACACTGTGTTCACCATTTTGTCAAAATTTGCAGTTATGCCTCCCAAACAACAAATATTGACCTATCTACACCTAAAACACGCAAGAAAAGGGCATTAATTGCTTCAGAAATAGACTGGCAACATGATGTAAAACTGGAAACCATTCGAGTGCTCACTGCTGAAGCCCATTCGTC